AGGAGGGGCCAGTCATGTCGGGTTGGGGCCCCCACCCTCGTCCAGTGTGACCCCGTGTTAATGCGCATCTTACTTACATCTGCAGTGAACCCCATTTCCGAACAAGGTCACCTTGACAGGTACCAGGGGTCAGGATGTCATAGCTTCTAGGGGCACAGTTTCACCCACGGCACACCTTTAAGTGGAACCTACTATTCTTCTGTTTCAGACAGTGTGCTCCCCCCAAAGCACTTGGCAGCCTCTTTGTTAGGTACTGATGGGCCTGTCAGCTAAAGTGCACAGCCTAAAAGACGCCTGGGTGGCGCTCAGTCCTGAGTCGGGTCTGACCCTCAGCCACGCCGTGGCCTGTAGCCCGCCAGGCTCCTCTGTCCATGGGATGTCCCACGCCAGAACACTGGAGTGGGTTTCCTCCTCCAGGGCATCTTCCCAAACCAGGGATCAAACCCGCATCTCCTGCATTGGCAGGCAGGTTCTTTACCGCCGCACCACCAGCTGTGTCTTATTCAGGGACCTTACTGAGGATGATAGCCTGGGAGATAGCCTCTCAGTGGCTCTGAGGGACCGTTCCAAGGAGGGCAGGAAGGAGCCAGGATACGTAAGAGTTTTTGCTAGAAAATAACATGATCAAGTGTCAGAAGTACTGTTCATCGCCAAGACCAGACCTCTGGAAATAGTGATCGTGGTGTGTTTCTCTGTGCGGATGATGCGGGAGTCTGGGCTCACTGAAGTCACTCCCAGACAGGCGTTGTCACTGTCTAGGGCCTGCGTCCTGTCCTACTCCACCCTGAATTCCCTTGGGCTGCACCATCAGGCCAGCTGCCCTGCTGCTGGCCTCGCAGCTGCAGCATCCTCTGTTTACTGCCACCGCGGGTGACATTTTTTGCCACAGACCACAGACATGCATTTCCAGAATGCAGGGCCTGTTTGATCAGATGTCACGTATCAACCAGCCTGCAAGCTTGTGCAGAAAAGGGTTTGTGCCCTTCCCCCACCCCACTAAACCGTGACCATTCTGCCTGGAGTGGGACCCTGGCGTCTGTAACGAAAGCACACACCGTTCCCTGAGCACCTCCCTACGGCATTGCTGTGGTGTCCATTAGTCCATTGCTAAGTCGTGTCCAACTCTTTGTGACCCCATTGACCACAGCACGCCAGGCCTCCCTGTCCATCGCCATCTCGCGGAGCCTACTCAAACTCATGTCCATTGAGTCGGTGGCACCATCCAACCATCTCATCCTCTGTCGTCCCTTTCTCCTTTTGCCTTCAACCTCCTTCCCTCAGTCTTTCCCAGCATGAGGGTCTTTTCCAGTGAGTCAGCTCTTCGCATCAGGTGGCCCTAGAATTGGAGTTTCAGCTTCAGCATCAGTCCTTCCCGTGGATATTCAGGACTGATTTCCTTTAGGATGGACTGGTCCAAGGGAATCTGAAGAATCTTATCCAGCGCCACAGTTCGAAAGCACACCCAGCAAGAATTATGTGATGACCGTGGTGGCCTCTCTTTGTTCTGCATCTGAAAAATAATCTGGAAAATCTGAGAATTCCTCATCTTGCCCGGACCAGCCTTCATCAGCTTGAGCCCCAAAGGGACTTTGTCCTCTTGGACCTGCCCATATATGTGCCACCTGAGTGACAATATTCGCTTCTTTAAGATGCGGTGACAAGACCTAGGGGAGTGGACCCAGATCCTGCTGTGAGCTGAAGCTGCGTGGATGGAAATTTCTTCCTTTTCAAGTGAATGTCCTGAGATGCGTCCTTCTTGCTTGATTCCGAGAAGGTCCCAGGACGGGTCAGGGGAGGTGAAGGAAAATTGTACTCTCGAGTTGTCTGTACTTATTCAGAAGGCAGTTTCTCCTGTTGTTTCAAGGCAAGGGCTCATGCAATTAATTTAGTTGATGAACTAGGGTTTCTTTTCCCCTGCAAAACTCTACCCATAAACTACATTTGGTTCATGGCATTTAAACCAACTGCATCATTAAGCTAGAAGCCTGAAGAAAACGTTTGCAGAATGGGGACATTCGTAATGAACGGGGAAATGTCACGGTGTCATCTGCCTGGTACTTTTCCCCGCAGTTCCTTATACTTAATTATCTCTTTAATGAGCAACTAATTCACAGGAAAATAAAAACACCCAGGAACGATGTGTTTAAGGGCACTTGGAGAGAATAAACCAAAGCCACCCTTTGTGTATGGCCTGCCTTGGCACAGAGGCATTTCTCTTTTGTTAGCGGTCATCTCGCTGTGGGACGTTGAGGGTTTGCCAACAGACTCCAGACCCTTGTCACTGCTGAGTGCACTGGTTTCCGAGCTGCCCTCTGACCAGCATCTCTCCTCTGAAGCCTGTGGTCCTCTGCATCCATGCGCTCTGAGCAGTGCATTGAGCTCAGTGATGTACTCGGCATCTGCTAATGGACAGGGCAGAAACAGTGCTTCTCAGCCCAGCCTGGGGGCTCCTTTCTCCCCTGATTTGGCTCTCATCCTCACACGTGGGACCCCCGGTGCTGTGCTGGCCAGACCGCAGCAGCAGTGTTTCCGTTGCGTCTGAAGGCAAGTTCTCAAAACGAGGTGGACACATGACGGATGGATGAGAAGCGCGCAGTGTGCCCTCCTGCGCTCCATGCCCCTCCCCAAGCCCCAGACCCGTCTGGGGGTGAATGTGCTTGGGGGGCACCCCGCAGGCTGCTGACTCTGTCCCTTCCCTCTTGGGGGCTCTCTTGGGGTCAGAGAAGCCACGGATAAGTTGCGTGTCTGCAGGGCTGTCTGTCTCTCTGCTCCTGGGTGACGCTTCTGTCTAGGCGCCTTAGTTGCACCCACCGCTGTCTGCTGGGATTTTCTGGTCCTGAAGGAACAGGCTGTGAGCGCCGTGGTCAGGCTCACACCCCTGATTTCAGGTGGATGATGCTTGCGTGTCCCCACCCCCTGCCCCATGCGTTCTGCTTGCTCCCGCTGACTCCCCCCAACTCCTGTCCCCACCTGACGTGCCCACCCCCCCCAGACCCCAGCACAGGCACGGTGGAGCAGGGTCTCCCACAAACCATTGCAAGTGATGCCTGTTTCCTGCAGAAACCCATCTGCTGGAGTCCGTCACTCCCTGTCCCCACACGCCGGCCAGACAAGTCAGTGGTTCTGCAGAGAGTCATCTCTGCGTCACCTCCTCCCAAACCCGCACCTGAAAGTCACTTTGCCAGCTGCCGAAGGCACTGGAAAATTACAAGCCCTGGAGGGCTGGCTGGCTTTTCTTTTTCTTGCCTCAGCAGACCTTTGGGTTCTTTATCGGGTCTGGCAACACTTCTGAGTCGTTCCTTGGGGTGCTGCAAGGTCACAGAGCACCAGCAGGGCGGGGGTGTTAGAGGCAGGTGCTGTGCCCCTCGGGTGACAGCCGGGGGCTCATTCAGGCCCCCCGGTGGATGGCAGGACGGGGGCGGAGCCCAGGACCGGGCCCCTTCGGCATCCTTCACGGACCTGAAGGCCTGGGGTGCGTCTGGTGATGGGAGTCAGACGTGCCGGGCGCTTCCTGGGGGACGAGACTCTGCTGTCTGGCGCTGCTCCTCGGTCACAAGGGTCAGGGTCTCTGCAGGCTGCTGGAGACCATGAGGGAAGCCCCCAGCGCGGGGGCCAGGGGCACCGGAAGACTTGTTACAGGGAGGCCGGCACTTCGTGAAGGGAGTCCCTTCTAGGTCTGCTGTTGCAGGTCCTGCTGCAGGACGTTGGGGTCCCTCCCACTGAGCCCACCCGCCGGCCAGCCCCCTGGGGGAGGAGGGGCTGCAGGGCCCCTAAACTGGGCTGCGGACGCCCTTGTGGCCCCTGCAGCAGGCCCCGACTGAGTGGCCCTGACCACCCCCCCCTCGGCCCGCCCTGGCTTCATCCTGCCCTCGGTGGGTCTCCCGCCCCCAGGCCCGGCGCCAGGCTGGCCCAGCCCCCCCGCCCCCCGCCTCGCAGCCTGGCTCCTCTGTGACCCCGCCTCCGGCGCCACTCCTTCACCCTTATTCTCATTCTCGCCGTCCCCCGGGGGTCTGATGCCCTCATTCTGTTTCCTCCGTGTGATTTCAGGTGTTGTGACTGCCTTTCTGTCCCTGCGCACTCTCAGAGCTGGTTTGTGGTCTACCCCGGATAGTGACCGGTGAATGGGACTTGCCTTGTGTGGTTGTAGAGCTGTGCTGACTGCTATTTCAAAAGCAAATCCAGGGGAATTCATTAATAAAATGCATCCACGGTGTCCAAGGAGAACCCCAACGTCAGAGCCGTTCGGCCCCGGGTGCCCCTCCGCCCCCAGCGCTCTGATGAGCGGCACCGGGGCGGGGCCCTCTCTCGGCTTGCTCAGAAGGCTGGGTGGGAGACGGCAGATCCTACAGGACTCATCCCCAGTCAGAGCTCTAGTTAACCCAGACTCCGTGACGGGGTTGGGGGTTGGGGGAGCGCCCGGTGGCGGCTGGGCCCATCGCTGTTTCCAGCTCAGTCTCCCTGAAGGGGGCCGTTCTGAGCCTCTGCCGCAGGGAACGCGATCGCCTTCTTCCATCGGAGTGAGGGGCCCGCCGGGCTCTGAGCACCGCCCCCCACACGGCTGTGCGCCGGGGGCCTCTGCGTCTCCTGCTCCTTCCTGGGATTCAAGCTCCAGACAGTTACGTCCTCACTTGGCCCTGCTGGGTGCCCCCAGCTTCAGATGAATGGGTCTCCTCTAGCTTTGGTTTTCTGATCCCCTTAAAGCAGTAACCACAGCACAACGGCAGTGAGTCAGCTCAGAAAGGCCCTCATGAGCTCATCATGCTCAAATTTGTGCAAAAAACAAGAGAGTGGGTTTTAGGTGGTTCGCCTCTGTTCGGTCGGGCCTTGATTGACAGGGCTTGCTACAGTGGGGTTCAGTGGTGAGCCCAGGCACATCCGGAATGACGGTGCATCCGGCTGCGGGGAGGCCTCCTCCGAGGCTGTGAGGAGGGAGGTCCCTGGGGGCTCCCGGGTGTCCTCCCCCGTGCCTTCAGGCGTCTCTGCTTTGTCTGTTTCCTTAGAGGAGATCCTGAAGACCCACATCGCCCACTGGTGGTCTCCGGATGGTACACGGCTCGCCTACGCCACCATCAATGACTCGCGGGTGCCGGTCATGGAGCTGCCCACCTACACTGGCTCCATCTACCCCACCGCAAAGCCCTACCACTACCCCAAGGTAGGCGGGAAGCCGCTCCGGGCCAGCCTCTGCATGTATGCACCGGCTCCCCGCCCCCTCGTGGAGCTGTGGCTCTCCCCCATCGATGTAAACAGAGGCAGGATTAATTATGTCCCATCACAGTGCATTAAATCCCCATCTTTGTGGAGTTGAATTTGTCGGCAGGTTTACTTTTTTTAAAATAATGGAACTACTGTTAGTCATCTGTCTAAGTTTCATCGCAACCAAAATACATCACCTCCCTTGTGATTCCGTGGTGACAAAAACTCACGCTGCCCACGCTGGGGCACTCTGTCCTGTGGTTCCTTTTTCAGGTTCTGGGGGTCAGAGGGTCTCCCCATCTGCCCCCAGCCCCTTGGCTCTGGGCTGTTCTGTGCCTGGCCGTCTGCTGGCCTATACTGTTTCTAATTGCCCCCCAGACCAGTGTGTTGGCACAAAAAGCCAGCAGGACAGCAAGGCTGCAGGTGGGTGGCAGGGGATGAGGGCAAGGCGGCACGGATGGCCACACCTGGCTTTGTTAGCAAGCTGCATCGTCCCAGTGTGGGGGAGGGCCTGCCGCCCACCCAGCTGGAGAGAGGCCAGGGCCCTGCCTGCCCCGCCTGGTGACAGGGTCCCCGTGTCCCCCCAGGGCTGCCCCAGAAGGACTGTCCAGCCTCTGCCAATCAGCCCTGGGCCTGGCTCCCCAGCCACCAGAGGGCTCTGGGAGCTGACGCCTCCTGCCACCCAAAGATACAGGACACACAGCCTGCAGTTTGCAGCGAGGGGGCGACAGTGCCCAAGCACGGGCCCCAGGGTCCCAGGGCAGAGGAGGGAAGCGCCAGGTGTCTCAGTTAGCTCGGGCTCTGTAACAAGCACCACCGACCGTGCTGCTTAAACAGCGGATGTTTGTGTCTCACGGTTCAGGAGGCTGGGAGCCAGAGATTGCCTAGAAACGGGACAGTTTCCCTGGTGAACCCTTTCATTCCCCCAACCTGGGAGTGATGGGATGACCTGAAACCTAGAAAACTGCAGCCCCCTGATTTTACTGTGAACTCTGGGACAGGTCTGTGTAATTGGAGTTATGACACCCCATATGGCTCAGGACTGGGGGTTCCTGTTTTAGTAGAAAGCCAGCATGTTCTGACCAACAGAATTCAGACTGGAGGCAGGAGCTGGTGGCCCGTCTGAGCCCCGCCCTGTGTGGGTCCGATTCCTTCCTCACCCTGACACCCCGTCTGCGGGGGGCAGAGGAGCCAGGAGTCACGCCAGCACCCTAGTCTGCTCTGCCGGCCAGCACTTGTGCAGGGCGGGGAGAGAGGAGAGTGGCACCCCCCCGCCACCGCCCCATCTACTGACACTCCCCGTGAAGGGCTTCGTCCTCCCCACGCGGAGCCTCTCGTGTCTCCCAGCAGACTCAGCACCCAGGCCGGTCCAGGAGGGAGGTGGCTCTCTCACCCCTATTCCCTTTCTTCCCAGGCCGGCTGTGAAAACCCCAGCATCTCCCTGCATGTCATTGGCCTGAATGGACCCACGCATGACCTGGAGATGACGCCGCCCGATGACCCGAGGATGAGGTTTGCATCCTTCCTTCAATTATGCAATGACAATAACAGTGAGATCCATGTCCGCTTATGTGGCCTCTGTGGGTTCCGACTGCCAATTTAAACATCCAAGGAAAAGGCACATTTTGTAAAGTTTTCCTGACTGCTTTATGGCTTGATATTCTGGGAAAGGAACACCCGTCAAAGCCTCTACGCTGTCTTACCTTATGTCAGGCTCAGATCCTGCTCCCCAGAGGCTGGGCTTCAGGGGGGGCAGAAGGGATGATCAACCACACGTGTCCAGTGGGGGCAAGGAGTATGGGGGCATCCCTTAGATGAACAGACGCACCTTTCCAAGAAAGTCCTGGTGATTGGACCTGCCATGCACGGGACCCCGTTTTCAGAGCCTCACTTTAGAGCAGGGGTCCCCAGCCCCCAGGCCACAGAGCCATGCGGTTCCTGTTAGGAGCCGGGATGCACAGCGGGAGGTGAGTGGCAGGCGATCGAGAGAACCTCTGTCTGCATTTACAGCCGCCCTCCGTCACTCACATGACCACCTGAGCCCTGCCTCCCCGGTGAGCTCAGGAAATGCAGTGCACTCGAATCATCCCAAAACTATCCCGACTCCGTCCGCGGAAAAGCTGTCTACCGCGAAACTGGCCCCTGGTGCCAAAAAGGTTGGGGAGTGCTGCATTAGAGCCTGACTGTCCTTTTCCAGGTCTAGGAAGCAAGCAGTAAGACCTGTCTCAGTGAAGCCAAATCTCCCAGTTTGCGTAACAACCACGTAGTTTGTGGAACATACTGACAAAGGCAACCGTCCTGCTGGTAGAAAAGACTGGTTCAGGTGGATTTCATTTTTCAATCAAGAAAGCTGAGTAGAATCTGACTGAAGGGGTCTAGATTTCAGTTTCATCTTGTCCCAGAGTCCAAGCGGCCTGGGGACTGGTTACACTTCCAGAGTTTACTAATAGCAACGTTAAACCTCACTCTGTTGAGAGTATTGATGGGAGACACAAAAAGGGAAGGGGACTGGGCTGGCCCCAGCTTTTACCCATTCACAGATTCTGCAAGCCTGTGCACAGGCCCAGTTAAGCTGAGAATGATCCATCTGGAGGCTCAGCAAAGACCCAGCCCACATTTTGCCACAACGGTAGCCTGGGTCTTCCCTATTCAGTTACGGTGTCCTGCATTACTGGTAGCTTCTGGCAGCTTCCAGAAGGGCGGGTGCAGTGGCCTCAGCCACTCTGGCTCCTCCGCAGGCCAGGCTCAGGGCTGGACACACGGACGCTTGGAGCCGCCAGCCCGTAACAACATGGGCTTTCCTGTGGCGGCGTCATTGCTGCCCCTGGTAGAACCCATCTGCCCACAGCCGCTGCAGGAAACACTGAGGTTTTTTCAGCTCTCCCGTCTCCAGGGGTGTGTAAAATCCCTGGCCCTCAGGAGGACACACCCAGCCCAGGGCTCCCGCTGCCTGTCCGTCCCAGCCGTCTGTCCCTCCTGGCCCTGGAGTGGCCACCCCACTCATGCAGTGGGCCCCAAGGCCTCCCTCTCGGACGGCCCCTCCTGGGTGATCGGGCCCTCGGCGTGTCCCGGGGTGGAGTCAACTTGGGCGATGCTATGCTTGACGGGACCCACTCCGGTATTCCTGCCTGGAGAAGCCTCTGGACAGAGGAGCCTGGCGGGCTACAGTCCATGGGATCACAGAGTCGGACATGACTGAAGCGGCTTAGCACGCATGCACACCGGGATAGAAGAAACACTGCGATCGTTGCTTCATCTTCTCTCCTGAAGATCCATGCGCTTTGCTGTCTTCCTCCAGCGCCATCCCTGTCAGGCCGCCTGGGGCCTGGTCCAGCACTCTCTCTGCATTAATATGGAAAGTCACCTGGAAAATTTAAGCCATCTGTTTGAGTTCATTGACAATCTCGTTTAGTCCATTTGGTGATGCTGTTTCCGCAGGCTTGATTAGCTTCAAGGACAGTGAAAAATTAGCCTCCATCAGGGCTGCCGGGACGCGGGCCCCAGGTCCTCTGCTCTGCAGTTTCCCAAGCTCAACGCGGCGATGCTTTCCTGGCGCACTGTAACCTGCGGTGTGTTAATGTCGCACTTTCTCATCTCCTTCCCCGTCACAGTCTTGGAATTTTTCAAAGTGAGCACAGATCTGTCAGAAATCACACAGTAAATGTGAGCAGCCATTTAGCGAGCATTTATTATTTGCGTCCATTAGGCCGAGAATTGAGCGTGAATGAAATATGGAGGTTATTATGCAGAGGAGGTATTGGCCTTGAAGGAAGCATTACAAGCACGTGGAGGGCTGCAGGCGTGAGAGGGGCTGTGCTGAGAGCAGGGCCTGGATGAGGAGCCCCCGGCCCCCCGCCGCCCCCTGCCAAGTCTGAGGCTTTCTCTCCCCAGCACTCAGGGCCTGGGGACCCTTTGCAGTGGGGGCTGCCGTCTGCATCACAGAGACTTCAGGCACATCCCCGGCCCTCCTCACTGGATGCCAGCATGACCATCAAGGACGCCCCAGAACCAGACTGAGAACCGCTGGTTC